TGAGACAGGGTCTCTATGCAGTTCAGACTGGTCTTGAACTCACTTTGTAGCCCAGGCTGGTCTCGAACTTGCAATGATCCTCCTGACTCAAGTCTCCCAAGTACTGGGATTACAGGCGTGAGCCACCACACCCAGCTAATTTCCACTCATGTTTTCTTTTGGAAGTTATATAATATTAGATTTCTCATTTAAATTTTTGTCCACTTTTCAGTTAATCGGCTTTTGGTGTAAGATATTGATCAGAGTTCCCCCCACACACACACATGGATAATCTAATTGTTCCAGTCCCATTGTTGAAAATATTATCCGTGAAGCTGGGTGTGATAGTACAGACCTATAATCCCAACACTCAAGAGACTAAAATAGTAGGATCTTGAGTTTGAGGCCAATTTGGGCTACATACTGAGACCTCATCCCTCCTTCCATAAAAAAAGAAAGAAAGAAAAGAAAGAAGGAAATATTATACTTTCTCCATAGAATTGCCTTTTTGCCTTAAAAAAAAAAATCAGTTAGCTATGTATGTTTGGATCTATTTTTGGGCTCTGTATGCTGTTATGTCATATGTTTTGTATGTTTTGTATCTTCACACTAATATCACACTCAATGAGTCTTGATTGGTAGTTTTATCCTATGTCTTAAAGTCAGGAAGTATAAATCATTCAATATTAATTTTAAAATTTATTTTGACTAGGCTCTTTATATTTCCGTGAGTTTTATATTCAGCTTATCATTTTCTGCCAGAGAGAATAGGGAGGGGAAGAGCAAGGAGAAGAAAGGGGGAAAGGGAAGTGGGGGAGGATAAAAGTCTGCTGGTGTCTAAAAGGGGGTGCAGCATTGAATCTATAGATCCATCTGGGGAGAACCGCCATATTAATAATTTTACAACTTCTGATGCAAGAACACAGTATCTTCCCATTTATTTAGGTTTTCTGTAATTACTGTCAATATCATTTTGTATTTTTGAATGTATAGATTTTGCACTTTTCTCAGATTTGCCCCTAAGTTTGACGTATTTTTGATGTTATTATAAATGGCATTACTTTTTAAATTTTAATTTCTAGTTGTCTCTTGCCGGCATATAAAAATATAATTGATTTTTCTATATTGATCATGGATCCCAGTCTTGTTAAACTTGCTTTCTAGTTCCAGTAGCTCTTCAGTAAATTCCTAGGACTTCTATGTAATGGTCATATTATCTGTGGGTTCCCAGATTCTTAGTCTCTGAAGAAAAGCATTTGATCTTTCACTAAGTGTGATATAAAACATAGGTTTTTGTTTGTCTGTCTTGTTTCATTTTTTTCAGATGTTTTTCACTTAAATTCCCAGTGTGTCTGAAAGCATTTATCAAAAATAGATGTTGTATATTGCTAACGCTTTTCTGCATCTATTGAGAGTACCATTTTGTTTTAGTCTATTAACATAGAGAGTTATATTGACTGATTTTTGGGCAGTGAACCAGGTTTGCTCACATCCCTAAGATCAATCTTATTTAATCATAATATATTACTCTTGTTGTATTCGGTTGGATTCAATTGCTCAAACTTTGTTAAGAATTTTTGCACCTTGCTAAATATGGTGGTGCACGCCTATAATCTCTAAATTTAAAAAATGTTTTTTAAATTATTGAAAGGCTGGGCTGCAGCTCAGTGTGAAATGCCTAGGTTCAATCCTCAGTGCTACCTCTTCTCCAGCAAAAATCTTGCATCTTTATCTTTGTCTGGGTTCCGGTATCTGCACAGAATTTGTAAAAAATTTTCTTTCATAAAATTAAAGATTTTATGTAGAACTAGTATTATTTATCCTTCAAAGTTTGGTAAAATTTCCAAGTAAAGGCATTTGAGTCTGGAGCTTTCTTCATGGGAAGTTTTTTTTTTTTTTAAGAGATTAAAACAAAACAGGACATAACAAAGCAGATCAGAACAAAACAATGTAAGCAACACAGTATTTCACCAGAAGGCAACCCGTAATTAACAGTAACTACCACAATGTCTCTTTCTTTGAAATAGTTGAGTATAACTTCATATACAACAGGATCAAACATAGCATAATAGTATAAAAACATTCAAGAGAATGAGAGTATTACAGGGCATCCAGAACCAAATAACAGAAAACCAACAATGGCTACTATTGTGGGAAGGTTTTAAATTATGAGTTCTGTTTCTTTAGTAAAGCTAGTTAGGCTATTTGTTTCTTCCTGAGTAAACTTCATTAGGTGGGACTGCAGTAGTGTTTAACCATTTAGTCTTAATCTTATCCACCATCAAGTTAAGATCCTTTGGAGGAGTCTACCTGATAAGCTGTGAATTACCAGGTATTCCACTATTCACAGCCCTGTAAGGGCTCCTCTGTTCCGTACTCCTTTAGTCCTATCAGGGTGGTTCTTTCACTGGAAATTTCCTCTCATGTACACACTAAATAACAATAAATTAAATAGGTAGAGGATCTCATTTCCAGATCTCTCCCCCCCCCCTCTGCCTCTCTCTCTCTCTCTGTCTGTCTCTCTCTCTCTCTCTCTCTCTCTCTCTCTCTCTCCAGCTTTTCTTTTGCCTTTTCTCTTTGTGCACTCTACTACCTTAGCTTTGCCCCAGTTTCTTCCACCTGGGGAGATAGCTCCTTTCCTGCTCTGGCGGCCTGGACGCCCTCTCAGTGCGGAAAGCTGGGGTCTTAGGTCTCACTTCATCTGTTATTCCATCTTTCAGGGATCCCTCTCCTTCAACTGTCTGATGTTCAATGTTTTGAGAAATATCATTTTTTATATTTTGTCTGGTTGTTTTTAGTTAACTTGAATGAGAGAAAAATGCAGTTTTTGTTCCTAAATTTGGGTCCATAACAAAAGTTTCTAGCCTAGAAAAGCTTTACAAGTTTAACATCGTGACTCCAGATCTCCAAGACCACTTTCTCCGAGGTAATTTAAGATGAAGTTTGATTAGCTAAATTACGTTTTTAAATTTTTGTTTGAAAGTTTTCCTCATTCTAATGAATTCTACTTTATAGACAGGTTTTGGCATTCTTCTTGGGTAAGATAAGTATATTTTTAAATGGATCCCAGGAAATTCCCTCTCCAGCTGGTATCTACAATTTTAATGTTAGGTAAACATTTTGCAAGAATAAAGCATCTTCTATCTCTGTCTTCTCTTCAATAATCCACATACCTCTCAGGGAAATAATGTTAAGTGCTTACCATTCTGAAGTTGACTAATTTACTAGGCTGTCTCCCTGCCATGAATATTAACAAATGAGCACTTCAACAGCAATAAGTTGGGATTGGGGAAAAGAATACGGTGCTGGGGAGCCGCTTGTGAGTTAACCTTATTTGCAGACTGAATGCTGACAGGATTGAGCTGTCCTGAATACCCAAAAAGATGACTTCATGCGGGGAGAGTGGCATAGTTCTCTGACCCAAGGATCAAGTGATATAAATCAATTTCTCAAATTCTGTTATAGCTGAAGTGCTCTATTTTGAACAAACCACATGATCCTCTGGCCTCAGAAGGGTCATTTGTGAAACAGAATGGATATCAGCCTTCCTCCAGGTCAGAAGACACACAGAGCTGGGGGGTGGTGGGGAGTGGACTAGATTCTTCAAAAAGAGATGCAAACTACAGTGGCTGTCAACTTTCTGCAGGAACCATGCTAAAGATCTAAAATTAATTTTTAACCTCTCCATCAATGGAAGAAAAGTCATCTTGGCCATGACAATAAGAGTTTACTTGGTTATCTTGGTACTTCAGGCAGAGTTGGAGTTTTTTGTTTGTTTGTTTTGTTTTTGGAGAGTGGTACTTTCTGCTTTGCTGTAGTCCTCTTTCTGAAATTCAAGTTGAAATGTTATTTTTGTGTTATCTTGTTTCCTAAGCAAGTACAGTGGTTGTCAGTAGCACCAAAGACCCTTGATTCATGAAAAGTAGCATTCAAGCTTCATGTCCCTTCACTGGTCACTAAACTTTGAAATCTCTCATGGGATGTGGAGGATAAGATTTAAAAAAAAATTCTATGAAATCAGGGGCAGGAGAAGATAGCCCATATGCTCTTGGTTTTAGCAAATATCTTGTCTATTATCAGAGTTTGAACTAAGATCAGGGAAAAATAAATAGACCAGTGTCCCCAGGAAACAATACTCTCAGTCATTAAGTTGCCATTTCCAAAGGTCTTGAACTTTTCTTCACAGAAATCCCAGAAGAGTGGACTGAGAGGACCAGAGAGCACCGTTACACCATGCTGCAAATGTGCTCAAATCAGACTCACGCTAGGTCTTACAACTTTAGTTGTACCATATTCATAGGTCCAGATAGCGTGCTTAAAAACCCAGGCTGCAGCCCCTACTCCAAGAGATTCTAGGGGTGGGACCCTGAACCTTCGTCTTTAACCAATTCCCAGTGTTGCTGATGTGAACCTCACTTTTAGAGACATTGACCTACATGTTTCAAGCAATAGTCAGTGCCTCTACTATTGCTTCCACTGTTTCCCAGGAAGGAGGCTTTGTAGGACATGGGAAAACTGTAAGAACTATGGCACAAAAGAATAACTGCAAGCAGCCAACTGGCAGGGAAAGGTAGGAGGGTGGTTCTGGAAAGAGAGGCCTCCTACGGGGACTCCCTGGTGACTGTGCTTCCTCTTTTGCTGTGGCCTATGCTCTCCAGACCCAGGAATAGACCATCTCTGTCTCTGGGTGATTCAGACAATACTAGGGCAGTGTAAGCTTTGCAGAGAATCAGAATGCCTCGTGTCATAGCAGTAGGGTTTGGAACTGGACCATGCTTATCAACCAAACAAAGGCAGGACCTATCACTGAATGCACCAACAGCCAAGCTGCTACAGTCATCCCACAAAGAGAGGTGGCGGCGAGGCCAGCCAGAAAGTCATGGGAGAAACCTGCCTGTGGATAATGAGCCAGTGCAAGGCTTGGGCTTGGCAGCCGCTCTGTTGGGCATTTATGAGGCCTGTTGGTAAAACCTGGCACACTGGGCTGGGAGCCTGTCCAAGCTGGCTTGCTCTGTTAGATGGGAGACGAGACAGATCTGGCCCAGGCTAGGAAGGCTCGCTTTGGGGCTGGCACTAACCACACTGGGAACCTTGGTTTCATCAGGAAACTGAAGAAGGTGTGTTAGAAGACAGTTCCCTGAGGTCCCTCCAGGCTTTGTTTTGCAATTAAAGGAGCTATAATCTACAGGACAAAGTCCTTGTAAGCTCGTCAGGTGCACATTACTAGGTACCTCATGTGATCCTAGGTTACCATGGTATTCGATATGTCTATGAATTGAGAATGTTTGTGTGGAAAAGTGAAGAAGGGCCCTTGTGAACAATACAGTTGAATGCAAGGTATGTGAGTGTGTATATGTGCACTGCCTGTGGCAGTTTGTGTGTATTTCTAACCCTAATTTCACTCCCAAGGAGCTGCTAAGAGGAAGAAAAGCCATGAGAAAAGCTTGTGTCATAAAAGAAATCTCTTTGCAGTGCAATCACCGGCTTCTGTTTCCAGGAACACGCGCCCTCCTGGCCTGCAGAACTCCTGCTTGTGTTCCTGTACCTGCCTAGCGAGCACCTTCTCCACGTCAGACAAACACCGCCACAGCCCTCTGCCTGCTTGTGTCTCCCACGGGCTTTATTCCTGTGTGTCCTCAGGTAGGTGCTTTCCTCATGGCTCTTCCGTAGCATTTCTGAGCCACTCTCATTGGTCAAATGCCCTCATTGGCCTGGAAGCCACTCAAGTCCACTCTTTTACTTTCCTTTCAGGTGCTGTTGACTTGGTGCATCATCTGAGCTGAATGGTAAACTCTTCCTACGAAGGTCTCCATGGTCCTCTCCACTCTTCTACTGACTGTTTTCTCAGGCTGCTGTCTCTTTTGCTTGTGACTTTCCAGAAGGCCTTGTGAAAATTTACCTCTCCGGAAAGATGTGCCAAGCTAAGGTTGACATCACCGGAGATGGCTGTGGCATTCTAGGAAGGTGACATGGAGGAAGAGAGGAGTGACCATGCTGTCCGTGCCCTGGAAGGACCAGAGAACAGAACCTAAGGCAAAATGAAGACAGTGCACATGCTTTGCCGATCTCTCAGATCAGGTTAATGTTGGTGTGGGTTTGTACTTTGATTTGAAGTGTTATAAATTCCAGCAGTTTAAACATATGCATGTTACAGTGCCTTCCAGAGCCATTTCTGGATGGCTGGATGATTTGTTATTTTGGATGTTGGGCTCTTTTGGATTATCCATGTCTACTTTTACAGGAGTAGGGCTTATTATTGCTCAAGTCCTCATCAAGACGATTGAGTATAAGTAACAGCCATGCACATGAGCCAGGCAAAGAAGAAAGGAGAAATTGCTCATGGGCTACAGGGATGTTTTGGGAAGATATTCCGGAACTAGGAAAGGGAAGGCACTGGGAACCAGAACAGACATCTTCTGAGGCACACGGGTAACACCCATGGGATCTGGTGGCTGTTTCTCTCTTCTATTTTCTCTTCTTCCTCTTTGCCTCATCCTCCACATTTAAAGCTGCCCAAAATTGATTGAGTTCTCAAGCGCTCTGAATCATGACTCCAGGTTTTCAGGAGAGAGATTTTGGCTCATGAGACATCCCAGATGTGCCTATGACAGCTGCTCATGTAATACGTGTAACTTCTGCATCCCCTTTCCTTTCTCTCTTAATATTTATAGTGATCACCTGTCAGGAGGTTGTTCTCCTTTCAAAAACACCTGCAGTCCAGGGGCCTGGCCTACCCAGGTCCACACGCCAGCAAGTGGCTTCATGCCGTGCTCTGCATCTGTGAGAGCTGAAACAGAGAACAGAAGCAGAATATTTAACATCTTCCCAATCTGTGCTTCATTAAGATGAGCCACACTTTATTTTGTTCTAAAACTTAGAATCAGTAGAATTTTAAGAGACTTGTGATGAGCACAATGAGACTTGTCCCTAATCAAAGCCAAACATTGTAACAGGGTTCTTTGTTTTGATATTAATCTGGGGATAGAGGGCTGCCAACAGTAGTAAGGACTTTTCAAGTTTCCTTCTGCTGGTGCACTCGGAGAGCCTGAGCCAGGATGCTTGCCATGAGTTTGAGGCCAGCCTGGGCTACATAGTGAGACCCTGTCTCAAAAACACTGAACAAAAAACAGATTTCTTTGGTGGTCAGTTTCATGGACTTTACATGAAATCCCATTTAAGGAGAAAGCAAACACTGAAAAATTAAGAAATTTGTTTCTTGTGGGAGGTGTTGGGGGAACTGAAATAGAAATGGACTCCCTAAATTTCCTGTTCTGACCTCTGGTCTGCCCCCTAGGAGCTGTCAGTACAGATGTGATTGGTGTTTCTGGCAGGCACAATGCCCTCATAGGCAAGAAAGTGACTCTCAGGGCTGCTGACCCCAGCAAACTGCTATTTTTCCAATTCAATAAAACCACCAGGCAATTAGAGCTCCATTTTTAGAAAAGAGATAAAACTATTGGAGCTTTTCTTTCTGGGTTGTTCAGTGTTAGCAATATATCTATAAAGTATACTGAACCGATTTGACCTTAAACATCTATTTATTCCCTATAACCACAAAAAGAGTAAGATACCAGAGTTAAATGCCACATAACTAAGAAAAACCTAGCAGCAATGTTATTAATAGTTATTATTTTTTATTGATGGCTGTCATGTAGGTTGCTTGTATCCATTTTGTTTTAAATTCTAGTTCTTGAGCTATAGTTTCAGTAAATCAACCCTGTTGAAGACAGTGAATGTCTATCAGTTGCATGGAAGGAAAATACAGATTCTCAAGTTTGACCGCACTGATAAGATTCAGACAGTCTTTGGTTAGGCCCGTCCTTGGAAACATCTCTGTCTAGCAAAAAGCTGACACCACACTTGGATGATAAAGTGGTGTCTGCCACCACTCCTGAATCTGCGGCCCCCAGAGCAGGGACCTGGGGAAATGCTGACCCTGCTTACCCATTCTATCCTAGCTGACCGCAGGAACCTTAGAAGTGTCTCTTGAAGATGCCTGTCCCGTCCTGTCCTGAAACCACTCTAAAAACCACAAATGAATTTCCAGAGAGCACGAGAGACATCGCCATTGTGATGTCATCAGCCCCTGGTATCTTGTGCTCTACGCAGCCGCTCCAGCCCGCGCTTGTGCCCTTCACACTAGGAGTTTGGCCCCGCTGATAGAGCTACAGGCCTTGCTATGCTCATCAAGGCCATTTTAAGGTACAGCAAGAACAACTCAGGCTTTCTCTGTTGACAATTGTGAGAGAGAAGAGGTCACAGAGAATGCAAAGGGCTGACCTTGGGATGACTTGTGGAGCAGGAGAGGTGTCCCTTGCCTGTGAGCTCAGGCAGAGGGAGTAGAGATGAATCCCCCATGATTATTTTTCCTCTTTTCTTGGTTGGTTTTGTTTTGTTTCCTTTCAGTGGTTCTCAGATTAAACCCAAGGACTTTACAATGATCTACATCTCTAATCTTATTTTTTTTTTAAGATAGGCTTTCATTAAGTTGCAAAGTTACGGAGGCTGGGCTCAAATCTACAGTCCTCCGGGGTTAGAGGTGTGCTCCAGCCTATCCAGCTGCACCTCTGGCTCTTTTAAATCCTATCATCAGCATCTCAAGGAGAAGCATTTAAACTGTCATCTAATCTGTGGCCCAGCTGATGCTTGTGTCCTACCTGTCCTGTCCCATCGCTGTGATGGGATGGGATGGAATCCTTCTAGGGCTGAACAACTCTTTACCTCCTGTGACAAACTCTCTTATCTCTGGAATGTACGCTGTCCTACTAAACTGCAAATACATATCCTAGAGGAGGAGGAGGCGGAATGTGGGATATCACGTGGGACAGTGTGCAGCTGTTGAAAATTATATTTCAAAGAACTTGAACATGATATGGAAAGGCACTCCAAATGTTAAGAAATCAAACAGGAATCAAAGTATTTACCACACATAATCCCAAATCTGTAAAAACTTATATGTGGGCATATGTGTTCATATATAAACATATATATATTGGCATTAAAAAGACTAAAACAATATATTGGTGATGGAATGACAGGTGATTTTGCGATGACAGACACTGCTGGGGAACACTAAGAGATCACTCTTTATCCCTTGCAAGCTTCCCATTACATAGGCTAGGTATTCCTATTTCCGCCTCTTGTTATAACAATTGGCTATATAACCAAGGAAATGTCCAGAGAAGTCTGTGAAGTTGCTTCCTTTCTTGACAAAATGATAGCACCTGTAAGGAAAAGGTCTTTTTCTAGGTTTGCTGTTTCCTTCTCTATTACCTTCCTCCTCATTTTGAGTACAGTGTTGTGTTGTTGTAACTCAGCAGCCATCTTGTGACCAGGAGACAATAGACAGGAAACTGAGACTCGCACTCCCAAGAACGCAGAGAAGAAGCTTGGAAACTACCTGGTCCCTTAACCATACGCTACTTCTAAGCCTCTTTTTAAGAATTAGAACATTTTGGGGCTGGGGATTTAGCTCAGCCGCATAAGCGCCTGTCTTGCAAGCATGCAGTCGTGAGTTTGATCCCTGGTACTGGTAAAAAAAAAAAAAAAGAATTAGAACAGTTTTATGAAGTCATTGTCAATTAAAATCTCCATTATTTATAATTAAACCACTATGAGTGGGTACTTTTGGTTTCTTAATTATCTAGTATGTACTTTTCCCCTGAAGCATCCACCACTCCCTTGATCTGACTGCTCAGAGCTGTAGGTGAACAGCCTATTCCATCTCTGTGTGGCAGAATTTTAGGTATTTGTGTGGAATTCGCCAGTCTACCAGATACTTCTGTTCTCCCGCCTCCTCGCACCGTTCCTGTGCTGTGTGGTTTGGCCATTCACTCTCTGGATGTGCTCTGGTTCACATCCCTCTGAACAAACAGTGGCAGGAGGCTGGAAACTGATTGCTGCTCCTGCCTTTGCACCCCATTTTCCCACAAGAGCAGCTTCAGTCTGATCAGCTTTTGAGGTGCCCAGCTCCGAGTTGATCCCCGACCCCTTTCCTCACATTGGTGGTTTATTTTGTCTCACTTATTTATTGAATCTCAAGTGCAAGGCACCCCCTTCCTCCCTATTAAGTTTCCTCTTATTAAATGCAGGCTGGCGTTCTAGCTTGCTGAGACTTTTCTGGATTCTAATTACTCACTGGCTGTTCCCTTTGGCTTCCTGTGCTCCACAAATTTGATAAGCATGCCTCTGCGTCTTCACTGCAGCTCCTCGATAACAAGTGCAGCCCAGATGTCAGCTGACGTCACCCTGTCCTTCGAGATTTAATAAAATTAGTTCAGGCACCCTCTCACACATCCTGTGAGAACTCGGATGCCCTTGTCCCGAAGATCCGGACAACTCTCAGGGCTCCACAGTCCCCTGTGCTTGCACGTTCCTCCTCCCAGCGGCCTGGGACCCCCACATCCGCTGCTCCTGGGCCTGCTCTGTCCTGCTCCGGTTCATGCCACCTAGCCTTTTCCTTCATCTCTGTAAAGAACTCACTTATGGAAGTCAAGCGGGCCTGGCAGACTTTGCTCAAGACTTGCAGAGATTTGGGGTGAGAGGATTGGGATTATATACCAGGCGCTAAAATCAGTAGAATGTTTTTGAAAGTCCATCTAAAGTGACACCACCGGGACTTTCTCCCTGGCCTCCCTTCTCCACGTGCTCCATGTGTTCCTCATAACTGCCCAGAGCAGTCAATCCTAGGATTGCCACTGCAGTCCTTGTCGCCATCAAGTTGCTTGAGGAGAATAAGGCCAGCTTCTGTCCCAGCTGTGAAGGAGTCAAAGTGCAGTAAAAATGTCTCCCATGCTCCCTTTTTTTTTTGTATATGTACTGCCAAAGCTAGCAATCCACCCCTTTTTACCTGAAGGTTTGATTATATACGGCATTTTAGCCTACTACAACCAAAATATTTTACTGCATGTTCAGGCTGAATTTTGGGTACCCAATATTCATACACTAAAGCTCTAACTCAATACATCAGAGTGCACTGTTAGAGTCAGGGCATTTCAAGAGGTGATTAAGTAAAATGAGGTCATTGGCATGGACCTCAATATAATCAAACAGAAGAGGAGATTCAGACACGTGAGAGGGAGACTATACACACACACTGCGAACACTGCGTGTGGGTTCAGCAAGAAAGAGCCACCACAAGCCAAGGAGGGAGCCTGGGAAGAAACAGTCCTGGTGATCTGAAATATCCCCCCAGAGTGGGTGTGTTGAAGGCTCAGTCCCCCATGGCCAAGGCAGGGACTTCAGGAAGGTGATTGGATCATGAAAGCTCTAATCTCACCCATTGATGGACTTAAGATTTGGTGTCAGTATTGAGAGGTGATAGACA